ACATCTCCCAGGTCGCACACAGTTCATCAGGGAGCCCAAGGTAGGAACTCAGGGCAGGAACTTGGAGGCAGGAGCTGGAGCACAGGCCAAGGAGGAACGCTGCTTACAGGCTTGCTCCCTTGGCCTCTGCTCAGCCTGCTTTCTTATGCAACACAGGCCCACCTGCTCAGGGGTGGCACCACCCACAGTGGGCTGGGCCCTCCCACATCACTCATCAAGAAGATGCCCTTCAGACATGGCCACAGGCCAGTCCAATAGAGGCAGTTCCCTGACTGAGGCTCCCTCAACCCAGGTGTGTCAAGTTGACACTAAAGCTATCCATCACACTCAGCTAGTTTCTTATACAGCCCAGACCCACCTCTCGGGATGGTGGACTGGGCTCTCCCACATCAGCCATCAGTCAAGACGCTCTCTTACAGACCTGGCCATAGGCCAGTTGCATCTGGGAATTTCCTCAATTGAGGTTCTCTCTTCCCAGGTGAATCTAGGTTATATTGAGCTGACAATAAAAACTAACCAGCATACCAAGTCTGTCCTGAGAAAGGTATGAAGCATATTGCTGTCCCTGTACTCCAGTGGCCCCCAGCCACCACCCTCTGCTTGCAGCAATTCAGGAATATTCAGATGATGCCCTGCTGTAACATAACCCCATCATCCCTCAGAAGGTGGTATTATTGCCTGATGGTTATACACAGGGGATGGGTGGGGGCTTAATTTCATGAAATTCAGCATTTGGTTTATATTATCCCACACTACTTTTTACTTTGTGTGACTGGGAAAGAGCAGCCTGTAGTCAATTTCCAAGTCTAACAGAAGCACTAGCTGTGGTATGTATAAGATTGATGATTTGTTGACCCTTTAGATTGAAATCAGTTTTTATTTTGTCTAAGTAAAAAGTTCATTGAGTGACTGGTCAATGAACTCCAGGGATCCTCTTGTCTTTTTCACCCCCTCAGTACTGGAGTTACAGACACACGTAGTTGTGCCCAGCTTTTTATGTGAATGCAGGGCATCCAAATTCAGGTCTTCGTGCTTGTGTGGCAGGCACTTTATCAGCTTAGTCATCCCCCTAGCCCAGCATTGCTGTTTTTAGAGCTCAGAATTACTTTGGCTGTTTTGTGCTTCCATATGAAAAAAAAATTTTTTTGGTCTTTTTGAGACAGGGTCTCCCTGTAGCCCCAGCTGTCCTGGAACTCACTATGTAGACCAGGCTGGCCTTGAACTCACAGAGATCCGCCTGCCTCTGCCTCCTGAGTGCTGGGATTAAAGGCGTGTGCCACCACGCCTGGCTCATACGAAATTTTTTGATGTCTGTGAAGAATATAATGAAAATTTTATGGGAATTGAGGTGACTCTGTAGATCCCTTTTGATGATATAGCCATTTTCATGGTACCAGGTCTGCCAGCACATAGCATTAGAGCTCTTTCCATCTTCCACTGTCTTCAGTTTCCTTCTTCAGTATTTAAAGTTTTCTTTGTAGAGGTCTTTCACCTCCTTGGTTAAGTTTCTTCCTGTGTTTCCTTTTTCTTCCCTACCTGCCTCTTTTTTTAGAGTATTGTAAATGGAATTGTTTTCTTAATTTCTTTCTCAGCATGTTCATTATTGGTATATGGAAAAGCTACTACTTTTTTTTTTTTTGAGATAGGGTCTCCCTGTAGCCCCTATGTAGACCAGGCTGGCCTTGAACTAACAGAGATCCGCCTGCCTCTGCCTCCCAAGTGCTGGATCTAAAGGCATGTGCCACTATGCCCGGCCCAAAAGCTGCTAATTTTTGTATGTTGATTTTATAACCTGCTCCCTTGCTACTGTTCATTAAATCTAAGAGTTTTCTGGTAGAGTCTTCTTTTGAGATTGTTAAATATAGGATCATATCCCCAATGACAGGGAAAGTTTCACTTCCTCTTTTAAATTTGAAGTCCTTTATTTCTTTCTCTTATTTTATTGCTCTGGCTAAGACTTTGAGAACTTTTCCGAATAAGAGTGGAGAGAGCAGTCACCTTTTAAATAATATTTTATTTATTATTTTTATTTTATGTGTATGAGTGTATTGCCTGCATATGTGTAAGTGCACTCATGTCATGCAATGTCCATGGAGGTCAGAAGAGGGGGTGTTGGATCCCCTGGAACTAGACTTAGGGATGGTTGTTGGCCACCACGTGGGTGCTGGGAATTGAACCTGGGTCCTCTGTAAGAGCAGTCACTGCTCTTTACCCCTGAGCCATCTCTCCATCCCCAAGAGAGTAGACACCTTTATCTCTGTTCCTGATGTTAGAGGGGATACTTTCAGATTTTCCCAGTTAGTGTAAGGTTGGCTGTAGGTTTGCCATCTACAGCCTTGTATTACGTTGAAGTGTGCTCTTTCTCTTCCTGCTTCTTCAGGACTTTTATCATGAAGGGATGTTAAATTTTGTCAAAGGCTTTTTTTTCTGCATTCATTGAGAGGATCATGTGATTTCCTGTCCCAAAGTCTATTATGTGCTTGCTGCCCTCTCTGATTTGCACATGTTGAACCAACCTTGCATCTCTGGAATGAAACTGACTTGCTTAGGGCCTGTGACCTTCTCAGTATGTTCTTAAATTTGATTTGCAGGTATTTTATCCAGAATTTTTCTATCTGTGTTGATCAGGGATACTGGTCTGTAGTTTGCTTTTTTGGTTATGTTATTACCTTTTTTTTGGAGGGGAGGGCTCTTTTTGAGACAAGGTCTCCCTGTAGCCCCAGCTGGCCTGGAACTCATTGTGTAGACAGGCTGCCCTTGAACTCACAGATATCCACCTGCCTCTGCCTCCCAAGTGCTAGGATTAAAGTCATGTGCCACCATGCCTGACCTGTTTTTCTTATCAGGGTAATATGGGCTTCACAGAATGAGTGTGATTAGTGTTCTTTGACTTACTCTTTTATGGAACAGATTAAAAAATAGTAGATCTTCTCTAAGATCTAGTGGAACTCAGCAGTGAATCTGTCCAGTCCTAGTCTCTTCTTTGTTGGGAGACTGTTATTGGTTCATTCTCGTTGCTTGCTGAAGATGTGTTTATATCCTGTTGTTTTAATTTTGATAGGTCCTATACATGTAAAAATTTGTCTGTTCTTTCTAGACTTGCCAATTTATTGAGATATATGTCTTCCATGTATTGGCCAGTAATGCTCTGAATTTCATTACTATGTGTTGGAATATCCTCTTTTTCACTTCTAATTCTATTAATTTGGGTCATTGTTCTGTTTAATTTGGCTAAGGGCTTGTTGGCTTTATCTTTTCAGTGAACCAGCTGTGTTTCATTAATGTTTTCTATTTTTTTTTTAGTCTACATTCTATTGATTTCTAACCTGCTCTTTAGTATTTCATATTACTTAGTTACTTAGTCAGTTTTTGAGCAAGAGTCTTACAGTATAGCTCATGCTGACTAGAATTTATAATCTTGCTGATTCTGCCTTCTACATGGTGGTATTATAGACATGCACTATCATGCTTGGCTATGTTTCTGGAGACAGGAGGGGAGTGTTGTTTTGTTGTGCTGTGTTTTGTTTAAGACAGGGTCTCTTCTGTGGCCTTGACTGATCTAGAACTCATTATGTAGGCCCAGCTATACTTGAACTTGCCTCCAAAATTAGGATCTCAGGTATGGGCTAGCATGCCCAGCTTATCTTTGCTTTTTAAACATGAATTTCTGTTATTCGTGCAAATAACTAGGTCATATAAATATTGAGCTTTTTTGATATGTAGACAGAGACCTTTTAGGTAATGTCTGTTGATTGTGGGAGTCTCCTCAAGACAGCCTCATTAGCACTGCAGGTTTTCAGTCTAGAATCCTGACAGTTATAAGTACTATCCTGTTTTAGTTTGAGCACTTTTAGGTGGCTATTAATTATGGGTATTTATTATTGTTATTATTTGGGAATAGTGACACCCAGGGTCTTTTGTTTGTTTGTTGTTGTATGTGGTTTTGTTTGTTTGTTTTGGGGGGTTGGTAGGTTGGTTTTTAGTTTTCGAGGCAGTTTCATGTAGCTCATGCTGGCCTCACACTTGACATGTAGCTGAGACTAGCTTTGAACTCCTGGTATTTCTGCCTCCACCTCCCAAGTGCTTGGACTATAGATGTAACTACCACATCTGGCTAAACCCAGGTTCCTCTGCATGCTTGGTAAAAACTCTCCCTCAGAGATATGCCCCCACTCCTTTTTATTTATTTTGTTTTGAGACAAGGTCTTCCTATGTAGCTCAAACTAGCTTTAAAGTTTCAATCCTGCTTCAGCCTCCCAAGTAGCTGGGACTACTGCATGTTTTTATTGGAGTTTCTATTTTTATATACTCTTTCATTTAGAGAAGTTTAGTGACGGGTTTTTTTTTTTTAAACTAATTTTAGTTTTTGTAAGTAGATACTTTTGTATATAAGGGAGAGACCTTGTGTTTATAAGGTGAAATGAAAATATATGTATATACTGAACAATTAGAATGTTTGCTTGCCAAAATCTTTGTAATTTTTTAAGGTAATGAAATTGTGAAGGTGTGAGCTCTTTTTGTACTTATCTTTTCTCCTCCTTTCCTCCCTCCCCTCCTCTTCCTTTCTCCTCTCTCCCTCCTCCCTTCTCTCCTTTTCCTTTTTCAAGACAGAATCTTGCTGTGTCACCCAGGCTGGCCTCAAACTCCTGGGCTCAAGCAGTTCTCTGCCTCAGCCTCCTTAGCTGGGACTGTGCCTGTAGCATCAGGCTTTGTCTGTTTTCTAGTTATTCTTTAATGATTTTTTTTTAATACAGCAAAGAAATCCTTTTTCTTGTGACTGATAACCAAAGAACAACCTTTCTGTCCTAGGTCCCTGTGACATACTCTAGCCTTCCCTACAAAGCAGAGCTAAATTCCTTTAGCTGTACTTGACCCTGAGAGGGCTCCCGTTATCTCTTCCTACGTGTCAGCTCTGTGCCCTGCATTTGTCCAACATGTTGGCATGAGGCGGTAGGGATAAGAACACAGCCTGACATTTTTCTTTTCTTTTGCATGACTAGCCTGCTATGGGATGGACAGTGAAGAAGAGAACCACTACGTCTCAAAGCTCAGGGAAGTCTATAACAGCTGTGACACCACAGGGACTGGCTTTCTGGACCAGGAGGAGCTGACACGGCTCTGCAGCAAGCTTGACCTGGAAGAGCAGCTACCATCACTCCTTCAGATTCTTCTTGGAAATGACCGCTTGGCCAGGGTGAGTGTGGGTTTCTCCTGGGAAGAGCTGCAGTGGGTGTGGGCAATTGGTAAACATCACCCTAAGAAAGATACTTGTGAAAAGAAAGTTATTAGCAAATGGACCAGCGTTTTTCTATTAGGGATGATAGAAGGAATTTCTGGGACCATCTACAGATCACACCCAGCGTTTTTTTTCTAATCATGTTGTTTGATTTGGTTTTATAAAATTGTTAACAGAGTTTATTTTGTGGTAGAACGGTGATTCACATTTATCTTCTTTAGTAAATTTTTCTAATGAAAATAATTTTAAGAATGTATTTGAAAAAGTGAAATGAGTATTCTCACTCTGAAAGGGAGCCATCAGATATGTCTGAGAAAAAGATCCAAAGTTTGTCCTTTATATTAAATGTGGATCTGTGGAAAATTAGAGTCCTCTCTTTGTTCAAATTCCCACAGGTTAACTTTGAGGAATTTAAGGAAGGTTTTGTGGCTGTGCTGTCATCAAATGCTGATGTTGGCCCCTCTGATGAAGAAGGTAGCTCTTCGGAATCAGGTAAGAGGATTCCTCTACCCGCTTCAGTTTCTTTCCATTATTTGCTTATGGTCTTTCAGGGCAGCCAGGCAGGTCTGAAAACCAAATTCTAGCCCCTCTTTCTGTCACTCTCAAGCCATGTGGACTTGAGCAAAGCATCTGGGAGTTCCTGCTCAGTGAATAGTGTCAGATTATAGCCTATATTGTAGAGGGCCATTGACAAGTAAACTGAAGGATGTGGAGAGAGGAAAGGTGGAGTGTAAGGAGTGTTGCAGCCACTGGGCTCTGAGATGCCAAGCAGGTGTCAGCCACCTGCCCATAACACCAGCATCTGTTGTCACAGACAGTGATGTTACAGTGTGATGATAAGGCTGACTGCAATCCCACTGTACAAATGGGGCTTGTTTGGCTGGGTGTGGTGGTGCACATCATTAATCCCAGCATTCGGGAGACAGAGGCAGGCAGAGCTCTGTGAGTTCAAGGCCAGCCTGGTCTACATAGCGAGTTCAGGCCAGCTGGGGCTATAGGGAGACCCTGTCTCAAAAAGACAAAAAAAGAAATGGGAATGGGGCTTGTGGGGCAGGGGTACAATAATAAGTACAACCATTATCATGGCAGCAGGTGAGGTGCAGGATAATGGGCCTTATAGGAGAGGGCTGGAGACATGTCTGTGCAGGGGCATGTGGACTGTGATGATTGCAGGAGTTCCGGTAAGAACTTCCCCACCTGGCATGCTGTATGATTACATAGTGGATTGCTGCCTTGGGCGATCCTAGTCAGGAGCAGGGGCATGGAGATGGATAACAGTGTTGGGAAGAAGGGAACATAATAGGGGACTAGAGCTCACACCAAGTGTCTTCTGCGTATCAGGCCTTAAGCTCCATATGTGTTTTGTGTAGATTCTGTTTAGCCCTCTTAGAAATCCTGTGGTAGTTAGTGTCATACCCACTATTGAGTTAAGATGTGATTTATCAGGGCTGGAGGGATGACTCAGTGGTTAAGAGCACTGATTGTTCTTGCAGAGGACCTGGGTTCGAATCCTGGCACACATATGGAGGCTAACAACCATTGGTAACTCCAATTCCAAGGGATCTGATGCCCTCTTCTGTTCTCTGTGAGCACTGCACAACACAGGTGCACTTTCACACATGTAGGCATAACACTCATACATAAAATAAAAATAATAATAAAAAAGATATGATTTATCCACTTAGTAGTGGTGACTAGGATTTGAGTACCTCTTGTCCAGCATGTCCTGGACCCTGTGCACATCAGAATCCTGAGTATATTGCATTAAATGCCATGTAGCTCCTTTCCCATCTCCTCTCTGATTGCAGAGGGTACAGAGCTCTGGGCTCAGTGTCATCCCCACCCATGCCAACTGCACAACCCTTTGTTTCACATTCCAAAGATGTGAGGAGGGCTGCTTGTCTTTTGTGACCCACGAGAGTTTAGAAGGTGACTGGGGACATCAAAATGTTTTGGAAATAATGAGGTCAAGTCCCTCTGATGTACCAGAAACATAGGATACCCTACTTCCAGCCATGTGATGGCCACGACTTAAAAGTGGCCATCTGCAATGTGGTGTTTCAGTTCTTTCAAAGAAACCAGCTCCTTTAAGCCCTATGTTTTTCCTCACCAATTCCAAATCTTTTTCTTTTGAATTAGAATTTTAAAACTTTTCCTCAGTTAAATGGCCCCTGTGCCTAGTACAGAATGCTGCCGCTCATGTCACTGGATGGAGCTCAACCTCTGCCCATCTCTGTTAAGTGGCCTTTTTGGAAGAGGTCTGAGTAAATGTCTGAAGAAATGATTTTACCCATACCCAGGTCTTGATGGGTTAATCAGTGAGTTCACTGGGGTTACTTACAGGAGCAGGGCTGATTCTGTGGAGCTCTACCCCCCCCACCTTCCCCAGCAATCTTTTAGAGCTTATGTAACGTAGTCGGTCTTGTGAACCTCGTAACTTTCTGAGCTTCTTCAGCCCGATAAGCTTCATTAGCTTCCTGAGTCTTGGGAGCCTCTGTCCTCCCTGCAGGTGGGAATGTTTCCATGTGGAGGAAGTAGCTAGATAGCAGTCTCTCCTTCCAGAAGGGCTGACTTTGTGCTGCAAGCCTGTGGCCACAGACTTGGGTCAGCCCTACCTGCACCCTCCAGGGTTGAGTCTGGGTCAGTGCCAGTCTTTCTTACCTTGTTTTCTGACTTACTGGTCCCGTGTCTCCTGTGCCTCAGCCCTGCCTGCTCCTTGCCCCTCTGATCATCCTGTTTGCCTCCTCGGCTCCTGTCACTTCACCAGCTTCCTCATTTCCAATCTCTCTGCTGGTGCCACCTCATGGCCAGGAAAAATGCTTTTCTCAGTGTGACCAGATGCGTGGATTATGAAGAGTAGCCCTGCTCTGCTGTCCCTCCTGTGGGTGAAGGCCAGTATTGAATATGGAAGTAAATATACTTTGCTTTCTGACCTTGTTTCACTTTTCCAATTTCAGTTCACACAGAGATGACACATAGGTTTGCAGGGCACTGGCCAGCCACTGGGGCCCTTGTAGAGCTGTACATATCAAGTTCATTTGAGGGCAGGCTGAGAACATGGTAAAAGATGCTAGGCCCAGGTGACTTATGGTGCTCTCACCGCAGAGGGAGAGCGCTGTGATGCTGTAGGGACTGGATGCTGCCCCATTGTTGTCATTGCCTAATGCTCTGTGTTGTTTCTATAGGGACGAGCCATATGGACACCCCCTTCTGAGTGGGGGTTTTCCATGCTGGAAGGAGATTTCTCCTTGGGCTGCTCTGGTGGGAACCTCAGGAGTACTAGGAGAAGAGCATGTCCTTTTCTTCAGTGGTTCACTACTGTAAGGGAAGGACTACCTGGCCGGGGATGAGGATATAGAGCTGAGGTCATTGTGAGGCCAGAACAAGGACAGTGGGATATGAAGGGGACACTGGACACAAGGAGCTCCACAGGAATCAGAAGCATGGGCAGGTTACACCATTGCCAGATGTGCAGGTACTTGACCAACCCTCAGGATGGGGCCACAGCTGGGGCGAGGTATGGTGGTCAGGATCTCCTCTGTGGTAGGTCTCGTGGTTGGGGCAGAGGAGAGTGAGCAGCCTTGGTGTCTTCTGCCCAGCTGCTCAGGTGTATCACATTTCCCACTGCACATGATTTCCTCTTCCTGTATCACCAGAAGGTACCACCACAAGAGACAGAAGGGAGAGGAGAGCCGCCACGTCCAGCCACATTTGTCTGCAAACGGAAGCTAGTCAGCAGTGAGAACTTTTGTTTTCTGGCTGCTCTTTATTGAGAGTCTTTCTCCGTGAATGGAATTGCCTGTGAACACTGGTAAAGATTCAGATCTTTGAGAGTAAAGTGTCTTCACTCACCCAAGATGGGCTTGACCCAAGGACCGAGGTGCTGGATGATCAAGGGTCACTAAAAGTCAACTTGAGATAATTGTTCACATTCTTTGTCTCACATTGATGGAGAATAAAGACATGAACAAAGGAGGAGCGAAGAAAGAAAAAGCAGGTTTCAGGCCAGGCGTGGTGGCACACACCTTTAATCCCAGCACTTGGGAGGCAGAAGCAGGAGGATCTTTGTGAGTTCGAGGCCAGCCTGGCCTACATAGTGAGTTCCAGGACAGCTGGGGCTACAAGGAGACCCCGTCTCAAAAAAGACCAAAAAAAAAAAAAAAAAAAAAAAAAAAAAAAAAAAAGGCAGGTTTCTTATGGCAAAGTGAGAAATTAAGGAAAAGACAGAAAAACGCCACAAACTGGGAAGGAGCCCAAGAGAAGAAAACACTGCAGAGCTATGGTGTAGGAGCTTTTTGTAAGATTTATGGCAGAAACTGGCCAAAGGCTGTGTTAATTTTTATTCAGATTGGCTAATTCTCTGAGCATATCAATGACTGACCAGTGGAGTGCCTACATGGTCTGTGCATGTTCCCCTGGCCCAGCTGGAAAGATGATGGTGCACAGCTCCTTGAATCAGAAGGGTGGCGATGCGTTGAAGCTTCCCTCTGTCCATCTTTGGTTTGCTTTGTTAGCTGCTGACCTTGGCTCATCTGCTGGCTGCTAGCCCTGGCTAGCGTGTCGTCCCGCCTTACAAGTGCTGCTGGTCTTCAGCCCTGGCTGGTGTCTTGCTAGCTGTTAATTAAACGATGCTGTCTTTGTTCTCAAGCTTACATGACCAGCTTGTAGTTTTACCGCAGGCCTTCTTTCCTTCCTGCCTATGAGGGACTGTCTTCTGCCTCAATACGTTTTCTCATATGTTCTCTTGTTTTCTCTCTGCTGACACAGAAGCTTTTCGTGCTCCTCAACATGTCCGGTGAGCTCTGTCCCCATCATTCCCTCTTGTCTTATAAGGCATGATTCTTTTTTTTTAAATAATTTATTGAGAATTTCATACAAAGGCATGATTCTTAATGATACCTGTAAGGACTGTCAAAGTGTCCCAGCAGTCTCCCTGTGTGTTTTCAGTCACCTTGAACTCCAGATTCTTCCTCTGGTGGCTCCAGGGTCACCATGTAGACCAGTAACACAGAGGAAAGAATTAAGGAGATTCTTGGCCTTAGGAATCTGCCTTCTGTATAAGACCGAAGACACATCTGCCATGACATGTTCCTCAGCTTCATGGCCAGGTCTGGCCTCCATAGTCCATTTTTCTGATTGCTCCCTTTCCTGAACCTGCATCCTCTTGTGACTGCTTCCCATGCTCTCCACCCTTGCTCATGCGGATCAGAGGTAGGAAGAAGGAGCTACAAGGAAGCCTAAGGTTTAGGGTGTTCCTTTCAGTCTGGAGACCATAATCCATGCTGCACAGGATGACAGTCACATGACTGTGTCTAAGGCCCACACCCCGGCCCATGGAGCACCTCTAGCACCAAGGGGATGGGGTCCTAATGTAGCCACCATGCCTGGCAAGAATGATGATATACTAGTGTCCCTTACTCTGGCTGTCTGGACTGTTGAAACAAGGTACCCCAGGGAATTGGGGAATTTCCCCCCAGGAATCTCAATGTTGGGAGAAGGAGAAGGCTGAGTCCTGGTGCCAGCCAGAGGGAAAACTTGTCCTTTTGAAAAGAGAAGGAATTTCACACAGTGACACAACTTGTTACATTGATAAGGAAAAAGTTGCATTCTTTTTTTTTTAAATTAAGTTTTTATTTTACATTTCTTTTTTTTAAATAAGATCACCAATTTTTAATCCAAATAAGATCCACAAAGAGTAAAAGAAAGCAAAACTTTCACATATCATTCACAATATTATATACCATTAAAAAAGTAACAATGGAGCTGGGCGTGGTGGCGCACGCCTGTAGTCCCAGCACTTGGGAGGCAGAGGCAGGTGGATCTCTGTGAGTTCAAGGCCAGCCCGGTCTACATAGTGAGTTCCAGGACAGCTGGGGCTACAGGGAGACCCTGTCTCAAAAAAAAAAAAAAAACAAACTTGATTCAATTAAAAACAAAAATTAACAATGAAAGTCAATAATAATAGATTTGCAAAAGAATATATGTACACACAGGTACAAAATAGTAATGAGATCTATACAAATTTAAGAAACATGTATATGAATATCTCTTATATCTACACAGTAGAAAAAGCAACAATATGAATACGTAAATTATTCTTTTTAAAAAAAATTTTTTTAGAAGAAGCATTTCATTACAGCTTTAACATACTTGTTAACAGTTTCCAGAGCAAAGATACATCTCTTTCAAAAGTCGCTATAAAATTTTTAGGTTCGCTTTTGGATTAATACAGTTATACAATATTGAACTCAGTATAAGCCCGCCCTGTAAGACATAAAATTGAATGAGTTTTTAGCCTATAAAAAAGATCTCAATTTCATTTTAAAATATACTGTTTCTTACAGAAAGACTCATTTTTAGTGCTACTAACACGTTTGTACAACCGTTTCTAGTCTTTATGTATCTGCTGAGAGTTTGAGAACAGCCTATGCTATATAGTCAGTTCAAGGTCAATGAGATACACAGCAAAACTGTGTCAAACACACAGAAAGACTGCCTTAATGCTTTAATAGCAATAGATGTAAGTTTTTATGCTTCCTTCTCAAATATAATTCTTTTTTAAAATTTGTTGATTTTTTTTTGTGTGTGTGTGTGTGTGTCTATCACACCAAACATCCCAAACCATCTTATTCAATTATACACCCACTTCCCAGATGGTACCCTACCACAGCCTCCCTCCCCCCACTAGAGCCCTTATACTCTGATGTCCCTGCTACTGTCCACTGTGTTGTCGGCACCCCCAGCCATTTCCCATTTTTTTAAAATTTGTTGATTTTTTTTTGTGTGTGTGTGTGTGTGTCTATCACACCAAACATCCCAAACCATCTTATTCAATTATACACCCACTTCCCAGATGGTACCCTACCACAGCCTCCCTCCCCCCACTAGAGCCCTTATACTCTGATGTCCCTGCTACTGTCCACTGTGTTGTCGGCACCCCCAGCCATTTCCCATTATTTGTGCATCTGCTGAATCTAGTCAGCCTATCTAGCAGTCTTTGTTTTAGGAAGGTCAGCTGTTCCTCATCTAGCAGCAATCAGGTGTCAATATTCCTTTAGATAAGATTGGGGTCTGCTGTTCATTTTCCCAGTTCTATGCTGGGTTACTATCTGGGAGTCCCTTGGGCCACCCTGGCCAACAACTCAAAAGAATGTATTTCCTATTTGGCATTGTTTCTTGTTATATAGCCTTTAGCTATACATATGGACTCTTAAAAAATTATATCGGCCCTTTAATCTTTGGTTATACTTTCCATTTGGGTGTTTAAGGCCATACAGTTGGCCCAGATAAACCAATTTATTTTAACTCTTTAGGCCATTGAGGATCTGTTCCTCAGGGGTCACATGGGCTTGGGAGGACCCCCTGGCCCCTTTCTTTTACCAGTTCTGTCTATGTGAACATAAGTCAAAGGTCCTGCTCAACCATGGCTGGCTTTGCTTGGAAGCATGGAGGAAATGTTTCCTCTGTGTTGATTCTCCTCTTTGTAGACTGGACTTGTAGTTCAAGTCCATCTCAAGGGGTCTCCTTGGCCTCCTTGATCAAGAGGACAGGTGACCCATCACAATTACAGGACATTTTGAGACATGCTCATAGTCCCCTGGAACTAGTCAACCTAGGAGGGCAAGAAGCAAAAACTGTCCTATATGTCCCTCTGACCAAATCAGTATAGGCCTCAAAGTATGTCAGTTAAACATCCAAGAAGGTTAGTTCCACCAGTCTGGTGCTTTTAATTACTGTGTGACATGTAGATAAATCTTGGGCAAAGACCAATTGTTCTTAGTAAACCTTGCCTAGACATATATTTCTTGAACTGCTATGTATAATTTGTCAGTAGGTTGTTGGACTAATATGGCTCCCTCTGGTTTTTAAAACTAGATAAGCATTATTTATTTCTCGCATTGTCCAACCCCTCCATCATGGTTTCCCCAATTAAGGTGCCCCCATTTTTCCCCTTTCTCCCTTAATAAGTCCCTTCCTCTATGGTCCTACCTCTCTTGAGCTCCTCCTTTTCCTTTATCCTCTAGGTTCCTTGTGTACCCTTCCCTCCCCCCATCCCTTAAAAAGATACATTCTTATAACCAACTGTATTCTTGTATAATACCCTTGTAAGCTTAGGCCATTGTAAGCTTCCTTTTACTTAACTGGGGAGATATCTTGAAATGTAACCCTGGGATGCTCAATGATGTTTTATTACTCTGTGGTGTTTTCACTACCTTGAGACATTTTGTTATGTTACTCTAAGTCTTGAAGCTCTGTGATACTTTCTACTCAATATGTTTGACTGTTGATAAAGATATAAAACTAAAAGAATGGAAAGTTCAGCAAATGTTTTAGTGAGGCACCTGGTTCCATTAGTCCAAGAGAAGTGTAAATCAGACATGTCAGAAATCTAAGCTTCTGCTGCTGACGTCTGGTTTTGTAAACTAAAATGACCATTTGACTGTTTCCTAGCCCTATTAGCCTGGCTAAAAGATGAAAAGGCGACAGATGTCCTGACCCACACCTTGGATGTCTACTTTGTAATCTGTGTTGTTCGAGTGAACTCAGGAAGGAATTTTGTGAGATCACATGGCCCATCATGGAAAGAAACATAGGGCCCGGTGCTAACCATAAAATGATGACATAAAATTGACTATATAATCCTCATCTGTACTTTAGTTCAGGCCCCAGAGAATCTAAAAAGCCTTCGTTGCTTCTGGGACCCTCATGCATGAGCAAGGAATAAAGGAGCTTTCTGACTTTCTCCTGGGTGAATGCTTGATGTGTTAGCTGTTGGAAGAATTTTTCCATAACAAGATCAGGCCTTGCATGGGAGACAGTGATGGCTCAGTGATGGGCAGGACCACACCAAACTTAATGTTAGGACCCCAAAGATGGAATTGTGGGGGTCACTGGATCTCTTTGTCCCTTTTTCCCATGTGGCCACAGTGAATAATTCTCTGTTTTCTGATGTTTTCAGTGTTGATTTGATTCTTTTACTTGGCTTATCAAGGATGGGTGGCTGAACTTGCCTTGTTGAGACACAGGCTGTGACCCTGTCTAGGAACAGTAAGGGAAGAAGTTAGAAGAAATAGTTATCAGGGCACTATCGCTAGTGTTCTTAGAGTACTGGTGTTGCATTCCATGAACAAAAACAAAATGTGCTTGAGAAAATGTAAAGAGAACCTGGGGATTAGTTCCCCTTGCCCAGCCTGTTTCCCAGTATCACTCCATGTGCTAGGATAGCCTCTGTTAACTGGTAATGGCTCTTGTGTTCTCCAGGCTTCTGTGTGCTTAACAGTGTGTCTGTGAGTGAGCCATACCATGAGTCGAACCGCAACTAGTATGTGGGGGCCCAAAACCTGCTTCATAGCAAAGCCCTCTGCCCACCTCCACCTCCATTTTTCTTTTCAGCTGCTTCCTGTGCTGTCCCACCAAAGTATGTGAGTGGCTCTAAGTGGTATGGCCGCCGGAGCCGACCCGAGCTTTGTGACTCTGCCACTGCGGCCAAATATGGATCAGAACAGCAGGGCAAGGGCAGCCTGAAGTCACCGGTTCGGCGGGCTGCATCACTGGAAAGTGTAGAGGTGGGTCAGCCATCACTTCCCACTCAGGTTTCCCAACATTAGGGGAGTAAATTTCAATTTGTCACTGTCCATAGGATATGGTCTCAGAGGATGTGGGGAGGGACCCATGTTCCTGGACAGCTTGAGGTGTCAACAACTTGGGTGCACATTGCAATGGTGCCTCCTTTAAAAGTCTTTCATCTGTCTTTGGGGGCAGTCCTTGTTACATGACACTCGCCCTCATACTTGGCTCAATGGGGACTTTGTAGAGACGCTCTTCTCCCAAGCTCACCAGTCACACCTTCCCTATCATTGAAGGAAGTCCAAGTTAGAGCTTCATAAGAGAGAAATGGTAAGTGCTGAGTGATGGAAAAGGAAAGCAGCCTTTGGTCTGCCTCAGGATATGCTCAGGTCCACACATCTGTGTCTGGCAAATTGCAGCCGGGTACCTCCCTAGAGCCATAGGGACCCTTTCCCTGCCCTGGTCTTTTGCTGCAGGCATCTGAGAGAGCCAGATAGAGCTGCACCTGCTTCCTGCTTCATGTAAAGAAATCTTTCCACAGAGGTCTGTAGCTTTCAGATCAATCATTGACTCATCAGACCTGTTTCTTAAGGATTCTAGAAGGTTCCTGATTCCTACTCTCTGTGATGTCAATTTCCACAATAAGACAGGTCCTTGTTAGGAACTTTGGGACCCAAATGGATTTTTATTTTAAACATTTTAAAAATTTTATATTTTTATTTAGTGTGTGTTTGTGTGTGTGTGTGTGTGTGTGTGTGCATGTGTGCACAGCTATGAATGAGTGTGTTGTGGTACACAAGTAGAGGGCAGAAGACACCTTGCAGGAGTTGGTTCTCCTTTTACCATGAGAATCCTGGGGATTGAACTTCAGTAGTTAAGCTTATTGGCAAGTGCCCATACCTTCTAAGCTAACTTGCCAACCTATTTTAAACATTTTTGAGGCAAAGACAAAAAAAATCTCTTCTCTCAAGGGCCTGCTACATCTGAATATCACCAACAAACTCAGAACATAGGTTTTTTGTTTTTTGTTTTTTAATTCTGCCTTAGATTTTTAAGATTAACTTATTTTATATGTATGAGTGTTTTGCCTGCATTAAGAGCACCACAGGCACGCACTACCTGAGAAGGCCAGAAGAGGGTATCAAATCCCCTGGAATTAGAATTACAGACAGTTGTGAGCGGCCACATGGGTGCTGGGAACTGAACCCAGGTCCTCTGCAAGTGCAGCAAGTACTCTTAACCTCCAGTCCATCTCTCCAGCCCCTTTGTGTTCTCTCTTTGAATATGACCCTCAGCCACAGAGGGTTGAGAGGAGAGGACACTCTTCTGAGCTCGGACACTCCACCTTCATTGTGATATTCTTTAGCTCATCTTCGACTCCCAAACATGGGGAAAGCTGTGTTGTTAGCTAAGTTAAGCACATCAGAAAATGGGACTGAGTATTTATTTCTGTGTGTTTATCATGGCCTGCTGATAGCTTTGGTTTATGCTGTGGAGCCTGAAAGTGCAGAGCAAGTCATGTGCCCAAACTCCCTTGAGTCTGAGCCCTTTGCTTTAGAGAGGGCGTTGGTTTTCATGGCATACAGTGCCCTGCTTGGTGGGACCACATGCTGCGGAGCTTCAGCCTACGGATGCCAGCCTGGAGTGCATCTCCTGAAGAAGTCCCTCCCCAACCCAAACATCCTATTCTGCTTATCGCTGGTGTTGCATCCACCATGACCACCATTGGAGGACTCACATCTTTCTCTTCATGTTTTTCCACAGAGCCTCAAGTCAGATGAGGAAGCTGAGAGTGCTAAAGAACCCCAGGGTGAACTGTTTGAAGCACAAGGTAACTGTGGCTGCATGTTTCATGCTGTGTCTGATAGGAGTTCAAGGAGCCGGATCGTTGGACAGGCCAATCCTCCCTCCCTCCCTCCCCCTTCTACTTTCTCTCTCTCTCTCTCTCTCTCTCTCTCTCTCTCTCTCTCTCCTCTCTCCTCCTTCCCTTAAGACAAAAAAAAAAAAAAAAAAAAAGAGTCACAAAATACTAAAGAATTCTAGAGTGTGAGGGTTTGGTCAGTGAGTAAGGTGCTTGCTATGCAAGCATGAGGACCTGAATTTGGATTCCAGCTCCTGTGTAAAAAGCTGTGCACACTTCTAATCCCAGCACTGCTGAGCCAAAGACAGGAAGATCCCTGGAGCTGGCTGTCTGCCTAGTCTAGCCCAGTCAGCTCCAGGTTCAGTGAGAGATTCTGTCTCAGAAAATAAAGTGGTCAATGATTGAAGAGGACACCAGACATTGACCTCTGGCCTCCACACACATGATTATGCACATGCAGATATGTACACGTACATACATGAATGTGTATACACACATGCATACACATATAAAAATAATAATAGAACAAAGAATCGTAGAGTCTAACAGAGAGATGAGACCAAGATCTGTGGCAAACACTTCCAAAGTCTGTGATGTCACAGAAGTGAGAAAAGGAGCTCACTGACATGGGAATGACAGCTGTACCTGACCACTGTGCAAGCTGAGGAACTTCCCAGGAGCCTGCCAGGGCCTCTCTGACCCTTGCAACAGGCTCATGAGTGTCTGAGCATCTCTTGTTCAGTGCAGCCCAAGGTGTGGTGCAGGGGCTCTTGATGGGCCTGGGAGCAAGAATGAGGGTTGCAGCAGGTTTGATGGCCACAGAAGTCAAGTGTTTTCTGACACTGTTGCAGAACTTCTCTGAGTTGAGGCTTGGAGTGCTCAGGAAAGTGCAGAAGGCTGTAAGGTTTAGCACCATGACATCTAGGGCCTCTGCCGAGACAACAAAGGCTGAGCCATGAATCATGGAAACTGTGACGGTCACTTAACATAGCTGGGCTAGGGCATAGACGTGGACTGCCTTCACATGACCTATCAGCATGGCTAGACTTCCTCAAAGCATGATGGCTCAGGACCCCCTAACACAGGTCCAGCAAGGCAGGCTGGGGATGCCTCTTTCTGCCACATTCTATTGGTGGAAGCTGTCACAAGGCTTCTGAGATTGGAGAGAGGCCACAGAGCCCCCATGTACTGATAGAAAAAGTTAGAATTTTGCAGTTGTGGGGGTTTTTTTGTTTGGGTTTTTTTTGTTTGTTTGTTTTTGGTCTTTTTGAGACAGGGTCTTCCTGAAGCCCCAGCTGTCCTGGAACTCACTATGTAGACCAGGCTGGCCTTGAACTCACAGAGATCTGCCTGCCTCTGCCTCCTGAGTGCTGGGATTAAAGGTGTGCACCACCACGCTTGGCTGCAGTTGTGTTTTCAAATCACTTCGTGGGAAGGTGAAAAAAAAAAAAGCACAGGCGTTTCAAACGAGGGGAGGAATGAGACCATGAAGGTTGTCGTGTGCTTCAGTACGCAAGTGGAGAACAAACTTGTCCTTTGAACCCAGACCCATGAGGCCAAAGAATGGCAGGAAGCTGTTGTGATCATTGGAGAGGGCAGTGATGAAAGGAGCTGTGTTAGGGGAAGGGGCTGCACACTAGAGAGGAATCTGGGCCGGCTGAACAGATGGAGTCCTCTTCAGGCTGCAGAGGCCCCTGCCCCAAGCCACCTATAAGGAACTGGCAGGTGCCTGTTGGATGTGTGTGGAGCTGGTATGTCCTGTTGGAGAAAGCACTAGGTCAACTGAGATGACGCTAAGTCACTTGTTCTGACTACCCATGAGCCACAGCCAGAGTCTGACTTTCATCATCCTGCACACACCAGACCCCCACCTTTGGGTGGAGTGGAATGCCCTGCAGTCTCTTCTCTCTTGAATCAGGCTGTACTGGCCATAGGCCTTTGATGTGCTTTCCTCTGCCTAATCCACAGGGTAGTTTGGTGTATGTGGCCTGGCTTTCCTTGGAGGGCAATGACTTTTATATTACTAAATGGGTTATGAAAAGTAAAGAATGGACCATGTGGTGGCGTACACCTTTAATTCCAGCACTCAGGAGGTAGAGGCAGGTGAATCTCTGTAAGATTCAGACCACCCTGGTCTGCATAGCCAGTTCCACGCCAGCTGGGGCTATGGGAATACCTGTCTCAAAAAAAAAAAAAAAAAAGACACACAAACTAAAAACAATGGTCACATCTCTCTCCTCTGTGACATTCGTATCACTGAAACATAACATGCACTGTCTAAAGTCTTATGTTCAGCCAAAGCAGCCTCTTCCTGCGCTGGGCTGGAAAGTGTGGACAAGGGGCAGAGCATGCGTCTGGTTCACCAGTTCCTTCCTCATGGAAGCTCCAGTGTCTGTCCTCATCTGTGCTGTTTCCTTTGGGAAGCTTCAAACACATCAGAAAGCTGAGCAGCTGCAGTAGAGAAATTGCAAACCCAGCCACTGGTTCTAGCTCCTCTGTGACTCCTGAAGATGCCAACACCTCCTAAGTTGGATACATGAATCACACACAACCACCTGCAAAGCATCGTTGCAAATAGTAAGAGAAACAACAGAAGCTGAATGTGTCTCCACACTAGTCTTCTTACTAACTCCAGCTCGTTGGAGATGCTAGGGACAGAGGGAAGAGTTAACCACCACAGGAAAGCAAGCTGATTAAAAAATGAGGTAGGAAAGAGACTTGGGACCAAAAGACTTGAGACGAAACAGCCAGGGGCCCCTAGGGACTTTGAAAATTGATTCAAATGAGTCAACTACATGAAGATATGTGAGACAGGGATTGCTTTTCAACTTGTGAGGTGTGACAGTGGCATCGTGTGACGTAAGAAATTGGTTTTATTTTCTAAAAGCAACTTTAAATATGTGGGGGGCTAACAGCAGAAGATCTGGTATCCTTAGTGCTTGCATCAACAGTAAGGAAGGGGCACAAGATGAAGCCACTGTGCCTGAAGGTAGGCACAGCAGGCTTCCCTGTACGCTGCACTTCAGGTGTATTTGGAAAGTTGTAAAACATTAAAATTTTAAAAAGCTAATTTTAGGCTGAAGGTGTTGCTTAGTCGTAGTGCACTTGCCTAGCAAGCACAAGGTCCTAGATTCCCACAAAAAATTAATATAGTTTGGAAAGCTTATCTTTAATCGTCAGTACAAACCCGAGTCTATCTCTGAACTTCCTGTAGTCTGACTTCAGAGGGTTCCCTTCAGAAAGATTTTCTCATGGGGAGCAAGGCTTCCCCCTCAGCATCTTTCTAGGAAAACTTAAACATGAAGGGAAAAGAACTATCCTGTGAGCTCCATTAACTCACCACCTACACCCCACCTCATATGCTTCCTTTACCTCAGCATGTCCACCTGTCTGTCTGCTAGCCTGACCTCTGAGATGTGCCAGCATCGATGTACTTCCCAACATGCTTCACTGGACTTTAAGTATTAAGTTGTCCCTAGATCTGCTGAGGTGTGATTGACAGGTGGTGATTTCATATATGTCTATACTGTGAACACTCCATCGTCTCGCCTCCTTACCTTCATGTGTGCTGTAAATTTCCAGTAATCAGGATGTGATTGCCAGTGATGGTCACTGTTACACAGTAGGTCTCCAGTACTAAGAGCTTTTGTCCTTTAGCAAGACCTTTTGTCCTCCACCACCTGGTAACCTCTAGTTTACTCTCCCACTAGGAATCCAGCTTTTTTGCTGGATCCCACATATAAATGAGATCGTGGATTTCTGTCCTTCTGTGTCTGCTTATTTCACTTAGCCTAATGTCCTCTCTGTTTATTCTTGATTTCATTCTTTTTAATGCTGAGTATTCCATTGTGGTGCCTTTATTATGTGTGTGTTTATCCGGTTTAATTGTGAATCTCCTTTGCTTCAGGCCAGCTGCAGCCCTGGAGTTGTGATTTCTTCGGGACACCCCGGAAGTCCTGTAGCCCCTCTTTCAATACTCCTGAGAGCCAGGTCCAGGGCATCTGGCATGAGCTGGGGGTTGGCAGCAGTGGTCACCTGAATGAGCAGGAGCTGGCTGTGGTCTGCCAGAGCACTGGACTCCATGGTCTTAAGAAAGAGGTAAACACCCTAGGCCACCCTCCTTCCTTGCTCTTGGAAGTGGTCACATTTACTACTGGGACTAGAAAATCACTTCACCCTTCAGACACCAGTTCAGTTCCTCACTATGTAGTCTAAAATCCTTTGATGGCTGCCAGTACTTTTGCCCAAAGCTAAATACCTCTGAGAGTCCATCTGCAACCACACAGCTCACCCTTGCTTAACTTGCTGCTGCCCTTAAGGTGCTGGTGCTTCTAATAGTTTCACTTATAGTCCTCCTGCCTGGAACAAAAGCCCTCCTCCCTCTTCCAGCCCAACATGCCATCTCTGAGCCTGCCTGCACCCAAGCAACTATGTGTACCATCTTCCTAGGCAGATGGTTACTGTTGTTCACACCCTGTATCCTTGCTGGACCATGCATTGTGGGCCCAGGCTGGGCTTCCTGCATGTATTGCCTCAGCATCCAACAAGTTCCTGTCCCCAATCTACAGAGTTAGGACGTTCAGGTGCTGCCCACTCCCAGTGGGATTGAAACCTTCCTGGCAAGGCCATACAGAACAGCTGAGAGGACTTAGGCGAGCAGCTAACAGTCTGGTTTTGAATAAGGATAAGCCAGCTGCCCTTGTTGGGTGTTCAGAGCCAGAGGGACAGACCAAGTGACCCTCCAGACCTGAAGGGTGGTGACTTTTGTCTAGGAACTTGAAGAACTGTTCAACAAACTGGATCAAGATGGAGATGGCAGAGTGAGTCTTGCAGAGTTTCAGCTTGGCCTGTTCAGACATGAACCTGCTTCACTTCCAGAATCTTCCACTCTAGTCAAACCAAACAGGCTCTGGTCTCAGTATCAGGTAAAATGGGACAATTAAATGTCAATCTGCAGTCATACTTGGTATCACTCTGTGACCACTGAGGGTGCTGGCTGATGGTTCTGCCATTGTTAACCACAGTGAGCCCAGGAGCTGGAGAAACATGTGCACATGCCTGTGTACATGCATCGCTCTTGTGGACAAGCTGATCTGTGGTGCTCATGCCCAGCTGTGTACCGCTGAGTTTCTTAGCCTCTTGAAGCTCCATGCTCATCTGTCAGACAGAAACAATCTGAGCACCTACCTCAGGCGTTCCAGAGAATAATGCAGTGTGGGGAACATGGCAGTTCCGCACTGCCCTCTCGGGTGTGGCATATGCAGTAATATTTTTCATTAAGGACTCTTTCCTCCAGTTGTACAGTAAGCATAGGTTGTAGGATGCTGTAGCTTGTCTAGGATTAGTTCTTCCTGTTCCTTCATGCAGTTTTCCCTGTCATGTCCTGAATTTTATCCTGCTCAAGTGGCTTTGCTCAGAGGCTGCTAGTGCAGCCCTTTGTTTCATCGGCACCAGGACATAGCACAGGGTTGCTCTGGGGTCAGGCACTGGTTCAGCTTTGCTGTGACTGTGGTGTGGGCAGGTGCATTTGAGAATCTAAGTGTTTGATTAAAGTCGATGGGGATGGGCAAAGAAACTCAGGATGAACACTACAGGATGGTGTCAGCCCTAGTCAGAAATACGAGGGGCTGGTGTGGCTCGGTGGTGGAGTGCTTGCCTATCGTTGTGAGCTCTGGGCCTCCTCAGCCCCACACATAAACAAAAAAGCAAGATGGAAAGACTGAAGATGAGCCACATACACACACACCAAGTAATGTTTCCTATTGATCGAGCTGGACTCCCCTTCTGAGTGAACCTACCTGTTTGCTGGCAAACAGTGAAGCCACTGCCAGTTCTGTCAAGTGGGGTCCTCAGTGGTTGAGCCTCCACTCAGAGAGGGTACGAGCTGCCTGTATACCCCAAGCTGGCATGTGAGCAGCATTGTGGGTCCCATGTACTTCCAACAGCTGGCACTTCACCTGGCAGCCTCACATGCTGCGGAGGTTACAGTCTGGAATGTACTAGAAGTTCAGCCCTCCCCACACTTCTTCCTTTACCTTCATGCACATGTGAGCTGTTCCCATGCTCCTTTGCACTCCCCGTGCTGGATCATCTTACCTTCCCACCTTGTTCTCTCTACTCACAAACTGTGTACACATGGGCATACAGCACACGTATACAACTGCATGCAAACACATGTACTGTGCATGCACATCCACTGTACATGCATATCCAGTATGTACACACACACATGTTCGCTCTATGCACATTTACTCTGGACATGTGCTGAGGTTCTGTATGTGTGTACCCACTCTAGACATGGGAACATCCACTGAACATGTAAACCTGCTGAAGACATATGTGTGTCTACTGTATGTGTCCCTGCTTCAGACATGAACATCCACTGTGCATGTGATCCCACTCTGGACATGTGCACATCCACTCTGTGTGCGTTACTGCTACAGGTAGGTGTTTACCCATTGTACATGCACACCCACTCTAGACAGGTGTTTGTCCACTGTACATTTGTACCCAGCATGTGCACATGGACCTTGAGTATGTACTCAGGCTCTTTATGTGCATATGCACTGTATGTATGAACCCTCTTTGTGTATGCATATACTGTACACATTCATGCCTGCTCATATATGTATACATGTGTATGTACGTTATGTAAGCCTATACTATGATACATAATCCACATGTGCACATGCACGCAGTGCACATACTCACACAGCCTGTATTCTCTCAGGTTAAGGCACACAGCCAAGGTAGATAAAGGACAGGTCCTGGCTTTAGTCTGCAAAGCACCAGATTCCTGCCCTCCCGGTGCCGCTTGTTTCAGAATGTCTGCCCCCACTTTGGGCAGCACTCAGGACTCCCAGGACTTTATCAGAGTGACCTGCCTGACTGCAGCTTTGAGCCTGCCATGTCCCACACGGGCTCTTCTGGCCTTATGTGGCTGTGCCAGCCCCGGGGGGTGAGCTACAAATGGATTCACCTCAGCCCTGCCCTTCTGGGGCCAGAGGAGGGGACAGCAGTCCTTCAGTGCATTTGGGGATTGAACTTCTGCACAGGTGGCTGTCATTAGACATGAGCGAGCTGTTTTCTTCCTCTCTAAATGGGGCAAGATGTCTGCTGTGTAGGAATGTAAAAGGCATCCACACAGCTCAGGAAACACTGTCTCCTCAGGGACTCTGGAGAGGTAGGGACAGCTGGAAGAACAGGTAGATGAGGCATGCAGACTGTACCTGCAGGAGCAGTAGGTGACAGGAGAGCTGCCAGCAAGCCGTGCTGGGAAGTGCTGCATGTTGGGGAAGGGCTTGCAGGCTGCTCTGGGAGCATGATCGGAGCCGAGTCCAAGAAAGAGACAGCCCTGGCTGGGGAGAGGACAGACTGGTAAGTGTTGGAGGAAGTGTTTCAGCACAGGACATGCACATCCGGAATATTGAAAAGAGCAAGGGAACACTGGAACTGGAGGTGGTGAGGAGGGTTTACAGCAATCCATCTGTACCATGCAGAGTGTGGGGTGATGTTCCTGGGTGACTGGGAGCCTGAGGGTCCTGAGCGCAGGCCCTGGTGTGCAGCAAGCACTGTGTCCCCCAGTCCCAAGGCTCCAGACAGCTGAGGCTTATTAGGAGGGACTCCAGATGGGAGCAGAGAGGGTGAGACATCATTCTTGCCCTTTGGATTCAGATACTAGGGAAGCCTCACAGGCAGCTTTCCAGCTAGGAGACTTGTTTACCCTTTGAAAACTGCTTAGCCCCCAGCTGTGGGCCTTTGAGTTCTGGGGAAATGAGGGATTCTGTTTGGTCCATTGTGTCCCTTCTTTCTGAGCCCACCTGTCATTTTCTGTGTCACCTAGATTTTCCTGGCACAATGTGTTTTTCTAATGCAGGGAGAAAGGACCAAATCCCTTTGTGGTCCCTTTCTACATGATGACTTCTTGATGAGAGCTGACGCTCAGGTGTCACAGATATGAGGTACCAAGGATGTACAACAGCAGGTGCCCAGGGCTCCTTCTCAGAGTGAGGGTCTGGGGGCCAGGAATCCTGACTGCAATCCCAGCTCTGTCCCCTACAGAACCATGTGATCCTGGGTAAATCCTGTGCTGTGCTGACCTACTTTTCTGAGGAAAGAAGTTCCTGATCTTGTGTGTTCTCTTGTTTTAGGCCTGGATGAGAAAGCAAAGTGCTGAGTACAGGCTGCTAAGGTGGAACATGTGCTAACAGTGCACAGACACCACGGCTTCAAGACGTCTGTGTGCTCAGGTGTCTTCCTTCCCGATGTGCAGGAGGAGAATGGCTGCCAGACCACCACCACCTCGTCCCTTGTGTCCATGTGCTCGGGCCTGTGCCTGTTCTCCGGTATTGATGATGGCAGTGGATTCGCCCTTCCTGAGCAGGTCATCGCTTCATGGGCCCAGGAGGGGATTCAGAATGGCAGGGAGATCTTGCAGGTTTGGAACTCTCATCCTCTTGGCTACCCTGTTGAGTGGGTCCTGGGATACTATGGGACTGAGCAGGGGATATGGGGGGCCGGGTGCCCACAAAGGATGGACACAGTAGAGCATTGCTGTGTGCCAAGAACCTCATATAGGGAAGCCTTCAAAGAAACATTTTCCCATCCTTTTTTGCCATTAAAATATAGGAAACTTTAATTTTGAAAGAAAACGGTCTGAAAAAGCCCATTTCAAGGTAAGTTTCGGTGTGTTACAGACCATCCCCCATTGCTACCCAAAGGAAGGAAGTCATACAGGCTACTGGAAAGAATCCCCTTCTTTGTGTTAACAGCACTTTCTGGGTACCACTGTCAGCCAGCCATGATGAGCCCCTAGTGAAACAGCTCCCTCTCAGAGCAGAGGGCCAGGCTTACTTCCTGTTCTATAGGTTTCTGTAAAGTTGGGCTCATGATTTAGGTGGCACTCTCCTCTGGGGCAGCCAAGTCAGGGTCACAGAGAAAGTGTCACAGAGGAAGGAACACTTGAGGAAGTATTACAAGCTAGATTTATTTTTGTTTCTAAAATTTACTCTCCATTATTTTTTTAGGGTTTTTTTTTTGTTTGTTTTTTTGTTTTTTTTTTTTTAATCATAACTTAGGGATGGGGCTATGACCGAGTCGGTCAAATACACGAGGGCCTGAGTTCGATCCCCAGGAATGGTAGTGAGTGCTTGTAATCCCAGCCTAGGGAGGCAGAGACAGGATCTCTGGAACTAGCTAGCCAGCCTCCTAGCATCTTGGAAAGCCCCAGTTCCCAGTCAGAGACCCTGTCCTAAAACAAACACACTTGAGTGCGTGCACAGACACACACACATGCACACACATGCACACACAAGCCAAGGTGGATGGCAACTGAGGAAGGCACCTGAGGTTGAACTCTTGCCTCCATCTGCACCTGCATGTACATACACACACAATGTTGAAGCTTTTCACAAGCTTTACAGAAATCTATGAAAGAAGGAAAGCTTCCTGTTCCCAAGAGTCAAGGCAGGGCCAGCAGCTGATAGGGTGGTGAACCTCTTGCAGAGCTTTCGTAAGCACATAAAGATAAATGAGTTCATATACTCTGGTGTGGTAGTTCTCAATATTGGTATTGTACTATGTCGCTGCTAATTTATGCAACCCTTCCCTCCTTTGAGTTTTTCTTACTCTGTATATAATCTCATTTATAAAGGCATCAGCTTCCCTGTGCTTATGCTAGCACTGCTTGTTCTGTGTGGTTGATTCCTGACGTTATATGTTTTAATTATTTTTAAACTCTAGCTTCTACCCCATAAGTGCTAGGATTAGAGGCATGAACCAGCTTTATTCCATTTTGGTTTTGCCTAGGCCAGTCTGGACCCTATAGACCCCAGAGTGGTTTACAATGACTCCCTTCTCCTTGGTCAGGAAGCTGTTGCTGTGACATGTTTCTATAATTTTTCTGACCCCGTCTCTATCTGGGGACACTTGCAAGGAAGGGTGCACCTTATGTGACACACTCTTGCTGTATCTCCCCAGCAGCACACTGGCATTGGGCAGCAACAGAGTTCAAGTCTCCATGTCACAGCAAATGGATATGCCATGGTACCTTCTCTCATAGGCTCTGGTGGGGTGATTCCTTCTGAACTCATGTTTGTCATTTTAGAAGCAAGAGTCAAGATGACTTTTTGCTAAGGAACAGTTGCAGCAAATGCTAGTTACTGGCTGGCTGGGCAGAAGGGCATGTAGGGGTTGGCTGTTCTGCTCTTCTGGTCCTTTTATACAGTGGTAAAATATACAACATAAACTTCCCTGTTATTTTAACATTGTTTCTCAAAATCCTGAGTGGGAGCCAGATGTGGTCCTACACACCTATAATTGCAGTAATCTGTAGACTGAGGCAGGAGGATCTCAAATTCAAGGCCAGACTGGGCTACATAGTGAGGCCTTTCTCTCTCTCTCTCTCTCTCTCTCTCTCTCTCTCTCTCTCTCTCACACACACACACACACACACACACACACACACACACACACACATGCACGGGGGCGGGGTGGGGAGCGCTGTCTGGCTGAGTGAGTATCCAAAGAAATGGAGTTCAAGTGCTGTGGAATCTGGGTCAGGTGGCAGTGTCAGAACTCGGGTCTCTCTTCTACTTTGTGATAGTTTGGGCTATAGGGAAAGTCTCTTTACATGAGGCTTCCCAAGGCTTGTATAAGACTTAAAACTGTTGCTGCATCTTGTACTTTGTCTAGGGAGAAGGACCTCTCGTCTTTGTCGATGTATCTTTGTCAAGGTGGTCATCATCATCCTCCTCCTCCTCCTTATCATCTTCCCTCCTCCTCCGTTTTTTTTGAGACAGGTAGCCCCAGCTGGGGTAGCCCAGTGTTAACAGCCTACTTGGCTTGGGCAGGAACACCCCGAGAAACAAGAGATTTGGGCAGACAGGAAAGAGACAGGTGCTAGTTGTGGTAGCTACTATGGGATCGGCCCCTGGGCTGTCAATGAGCAAGAATGCATTTGGGAAAGTTCCTTACTCCCTTCTGCCTCTGGGCTTGCTAATTCCAGAGCCTGGACTTCAGTGTGGATGAGAAGGTGAACCTCTTGGAGCTGACCTGGGCCCTTGACAATGAGCTCCTCGCAGTGGATGGTGTCATCCAGCAAGCAGCCCTGGCCTGCTACCGCCAGGAACTGAGCTACCACCAGTAAGAGCCCACAAGGGAATGGAGTAGGGATATAGCTGGCCCTGGGAACTTCAGGTTATACCTTCCCTGAACCCCCTTCATCCACCCTAGTAACTTGTGACCTTCCTGTTCTCTGTTCTCTAGCCCTTGTTACTAGAGCTCAGGTAGAGCAAAGAAATAGGTGTGCAGAGCAGAAGTAACCAGTGTTGTCCATGAGTCCAGGCTGGGCAGGGTCCAAGGGCTGCAAGGATTACTCACTGGTCACTACTCCTTGGATTTCATGTCCCCAGAATTAAAGGATCACCAGCTCTTCCTCAAAGGTGGGGACACACTTAAAGATCTGTGTGCCAGGGTCCTCATTCAGCCCCTTATAGTGAATTCAAATACCGGAACTTGACTTTCCTCCTGCTGGTGCTGGAACTCACTGTGGCGGAAGCAAAGTCTCTGATCTGAGAGACCTGCTTCCAAGAGTAGCTAAGGGATCCCAGGCTGAGGTTGGCAAGAGAGTGAAAGGAAGTCCCTCTCAGTGTACAGCCAGGTCAAGAACATGACCTTCCTAATGGGGCTTTCATTTACTTACTGTTGAGGAGTCATTTGGTCTCTCTTAACACACCAACTTATAAAATAATCACAGAAATTGTAGAGCACCCCAGGAGGTTGTTGTGGGGCAGTGAAGTCATGCTGGGCAGTGAGGCCCAGGTGGGACCTGTCATGCTGACAGCAGGGTCCCATCTGTCCTTCCTGTGGCAGAGGGCAAGTGGAACAGCTGGTGCATGAGCGGGACAAGGCGAGGCAGGACCTGGAGAAAGCTGAGAAGAGGAACCTGGACTTTGTGAAAGAGATGGATGATTGCCACTCTGCCCTGGAGCAGCTCACGGAAAAGAAAATCAAGTAGGTTCTGGGCCTGGAGCCATAGCTGATAGGCAGCCACCACAGCATGCCCCCCAAGCCCCCTGAGGGCCAGCCAAGAGCCAGGGCTGCTGCCAGCTAAGGTACAACCAAAAGTTGGGGCAAGGAGACCCTACTGTTCCACAGTGGGAGCCTGTGGAAGTGGAGACAACCTAGCCTTGGGATGCCTTTACTAACAAGCAGTGTCCCACATTTTGTGATGTGGGTGCACTGGGCTCTGGTGTCTCCTGTGTCTATCTGTGGCCATGGGGAAAATCCTGGCTCTGCTCACAAATTTATCAGGGTCAGTGGTAATGCAAGTCACCTAGATTTCAAAACGGCAAGTGATTTGGGAGAGGCTGGGAATGGCTTTGGGGTTGCGTGGTTGATGGAAGAGCCCCAAAGTCTGACTCTGAATACACAGATGCACTATAGCACCTGAGCCAGAAGCTAGTGTGGGGTCCGTGAAAGGGGAAGGTGGCTGGACAGACCAAACAGAAAAACATGCATGTCATTTCTCTGGTTTATTAAATAGACAGGGAAGGGAATCTCTGTAATGAAGATTTCCCAAACTGTGGCAGGGAAGGGCTATCCCCAACCCCACCATTGGAGCCTTGGGCTGCCCAGCCAGCCTTAGCTTTATGGTCACCTTCCTGAAGATTCTACTTGCCCAGAGCTGTGCTCTGATGAAGGTCAGAAGGTGCTGGTAATCTTTCCCTGTTCATTCTCTTGGGTCAGACATTCAGCTAGGAGAGGCCTGGCTGCCTGAGGCTGCAATCTCAGTCCTGCTGTGCCAAACCCTTTAGCTTCTCCTCTGTAGACTGGATAGGGCCAGTCCCTTGTCATTGTGCTTAGTATGGAGCCAAGCATTTGCTGTTACATGGGCTGCACTGCATGGGGGGCGGGGGAGAGAAATGGAAGGCTGTTTAGGTATCATGGGTGTTTACTTGATCTAAGGCGCTTATGTCTCCCGTCATGTATGTTATGGCATTTGAAATCCATGTTTTTTTCACAGCTTAGGACTGGGGAGTCATGTGTTCACCTTGAGTGTTACTCAAGATACACAGAAGCCCATATAGCCCTGATGGGCAGTTTGGGGGATGTCCTCCTCCATTGCCTTATGTGCCTGTGGTGCTTATGTCCTCCAAGCAAGGAGATGTTAATGCATCATGGCCGCAGGAAAGAGGCATGAGCAGAATGGGATCAGGGCAGAGCCACAGGGTTTCCTAGACAGCACCTCCTGTAACTGAGGGCATTTGGCCTGGGGTACTACAGGGCCTTCAGGGTGATCTCAAGCTTCTGGACCTTAGCAGCCAGCCCCTGCCTTGTGTCAGTCTGATCGTATTCTGCTGAACCTTGAGTTTAGAGCAAAAGCTCATTACTTCTTTACCACAGGTGTCCTGGCACTTCAGTTGGGTTGCCAGAACCCAGAGGCCAAGGTTGTATGAGGGATCCTGTCTGTGCTGATGACACCTCACCTAACCCCAACAGCCACTTTAATCTCATTTTTCAGTCACAGAAATTCAGAATCAGAGAAGCTTAGTAACTTGCCCATAATTATTTGTGTGTTCATGAAATTGGAACCCAAGTTTTCTCTGTCTGGGTTTTACACTATCTCTCTCTCCCTTCTTCCCGGGGCTTATCTATATTAAGCAAGTGCTGTACCACAAAGCCATATCCCAGTCCCCTGCTCCCCTGACCCCTTTTTGAGACAGGGCCTCCTTGTAGTCAAAACTGGCTTTGAACTCCCTATGTGGACCAGGCTGGCCTTGATCTCATAGAGATCCACCTGCCTCTGCCTCCCCAGTGCTGGGATTAAAGGCATGTGCCACCATACTTGGTTCTAACCTTTTTTATTTTATTTTAAGATAGTGTTACTAAGTTTTCCAAGCTGTTCTCAAACTTGGAATCCTCCTGTCTCAGTCCCCCAAGTAGGTGGAAATTTTAATAGTAGTGTGAACTACTATATCTCTATTACAAAAATAACATTTCTTTTGAGAGTTTAAGAACCTTAGGTCAGGAGCTGGAGAGATGGCTCAACACTTACGAGCACTGGCTGTTCTTACAGAAGACCTGGGTTCAAATCTCAGCACCAACATGACACCTAGCAACTGTCTACAGCTCCGGTTCCAGGGGATCCAGTGCCCTCTTCTGTTCTCCATGGGTACTGCATGACATAGATGCACTTATATACATGCAGTCACTCATACACTCATGTACATAAAATTAAAAAAATAAAAGCCCTTAGGTCAGGGCTGGAGAGATGGCTCAGTGGTTAAGAGCACTGGCTGCAGAGAGGCCCTAGGAGTCCCCAAAACAATAAAGGCCATTGCCAATAATGTTGGTTGTACACTGGAAGTGGACAGTAAAACCCTATTGCTGAAGACACCGCATAATACGAGTGCAGGAGAGGGAGAAATCAAATTTGGACTATGCTGGAAACACCCTGCCACTGGGTGGGTGATTTCATAGTACCAGGAGGTGATATGCAGATGGCTGGGGGAGAACTGTCCCCTATAATTCTGCTCAACGACAGACCCCATGTACTGCACTTGTCAACATGCCAAACAAGATGTTCCGGCTGGTGCAATAGTGGTGAGTCTAGTGTATGTACAACCAGCAAATTTTCTGTTGGATATAATGCCCGTTCCTAGGGGTGGAATACACATCTGGTAGACCAGGCCACCCTCCCTGTAGTAGTGGAGGATATAGGGCCCAGTGGGGAAGCCACTGCAATTGTTCTGTTAGAGGAATGTGATGCACCTGCTAAAGTACCATCCAAACATTTGTGCTTACATCCATAGGTTAAGTTATTATAGCAGCCACTGTTTAGATGTTCTTGCTTCTTGCTGTTTGCATTTTTATAGCAGATGGAATCCCACTGAAATGGGCCAATAGCCCATGGAAAACAGATGATGCAGAGACCTGAAAGTTCAGTGCCTTCCCACAATAGGAGGAAGATCATCCCACACCTATCACCCCCTCCAAGGCTCAGGGACTTTTGTGGAAGAGGTTGGCGGAAAGAATGTAAGAGCCGGAGGCTGGGGTAGAGTGTTACCTGGAAGTGCCCTCCGACCACTATGCCGGCAAACTATAGTCATACCTCCTTCCCACACTTGTCAAGGATTCCAGGGGGGAGTCAGTTACCCCTCCCACCCAGTCAGTTGACCTTAGCTGCATGTCGGGGAGGGGCTAAGGATATATAAGTTGAGAAGGCCATGAGGCACCTCTCTCACCATTTTGTGTGTCTGTCAGGAAGTCACAGGATCTATATTTGAGTGTAGACTTTCAAGCGCAGCTGTAGCGCCCACCCTTCTGGACATAACCCCCCACCCTATGTTCTGTTAGCAAGCCCAATAAACTCGTTAGGATTTAAAAAAAAAAAAAAAAAAAAAAGCACTGGCTGCTTTTGCAGAGGACTGGGTTCAGTTCCAAGTACCCACATGGTGACTAACAACTGTCCATAACTCCAGTTCCGGGGATCCAATGCCCTCTTCTGACAGTGGGCATTGCATGACACAGGTACACTTACTTATATGCAGGCAAACACTCATACACATAAAATAAAAATAAAGAAAAAACCTTGAGTCAGAGAAACCCTGAGGATCCAGAGCCTGATCACTTTGCTTCAGGCGTGGTATATTGTTCAGGCCTTCCAGAAACAACTGTGGCCTTTGGTCAGCTGTGAGGGCCCAGCAGCCTCTCTTCTCCTCCATGACCTGTGCACTTTATTTTTCCACTGATCTGCGATATAGGAGAGATCTTTGCTTCCTATCCTACAGCCTGTGCTGTCCCATTCTGGCCAGTTCTGGGAGGGCAGGGCTTATACCTGGGTCCACATGTACCTCCATGTCCGTTTCCTTTCAGACATCTCAAGAAGGCCAGACATTGTAGGCTGACATGTGTGAGGAGGGTTGTGTTAGAGTTGGCATCATGGGATGAGAATGTGAGTGAGACTATAACTGTGTTTTTGTGTGAGAATGAGTGTGCAGGTGTCTGGGTGATGTGCCTATGGTTACACAGGTATGTGTGAAAACATTGATGTGTGTGGATCTGAAGGAGTCATGTGGATGTGTGAGGGTATGTGGCGGGGGGGAGGTATTCTTTTCACCAAACTTAAGAGTTTCCTATCAAACCTGAGATGGGTAAATGTGGCCACTCTGTAAGAGGATCTGCTAAGACTGAAAGGCTCAAGTATGGGAGACACACTAAGTGGTGAAATCTGACCATTTGACCTTGTTGATTCAGGTCACCTTCCCCCTTAGCATAGAACTCGTGGTCTATCATAGAAGGATGTTTCCATAAGAAATGGTGGTGTTTTCGCTCCTGTCAGCAGTTGGTGTGTCTCTTGGCTGCCCAACCTCCGAGCTCTTTCACTGACTGCACATTGAAAGGGGTTTCCTTTCTTTCTCAGCCAGGTTCTGAGTACAGTTAGGAAGCAAGCCCTGGCTGTGAAGGTTGACTCTCATCTTCACAGTGCTGGCTTTTGTTTCTCTAAGATCCTTTTGTTACTTCCTTGCTTTTTCAGAACTGCTTGTGAGGTATGTTTTCAGTGAGTGAAACTGTTCTTTGAAAGGGAACAAGTAGAGAGGGCACTGGTATGGTTCAGAACCAGAGTGCTTACTTAGAAAAAGAAAAAACTGGCAGATGGCTAAGGCCAGCAGTGCAGTCACTGGAATGTATTTCCTCTTCCTTGATGTACTCAAAGGGTTGACATCAGCTGTGACATCTTCACTTTACTCCTTAGTGTTGGGTCCAGTGAGTGGGTTCCGGGTTGCTTCTAACTACTCTTTGATAGTGCCACTGGGACCGTAATGAGCCCATCCAGGACCTCAGGGTACAGTAGGATCTCTTGAGGACAGTCTTCTTTGGCACCTGCACCAGCCGCTTTCCAGCGCTCAGTGATGTTCACAGAAGACTCTTGTTTAACCATTGTGTTCAAAAGCTAAAGGAAAGTTGATTTGGGATCCTAGTTTAAGTAACAGAACTGATCTACCTGGTCA